GGAATTAAAACCTTTTGCAAACATTTTGAAACCATAATATATATATATATATATATATATATATATATTATGTATATCTCTATATAAATATATTTTGCAAAACAATTTTCAACGGTTGAAATCAACTACTAGCAGTTTAGGTTTCCATCAGAGAGAGTGCATCCCCGATCATTCACTTTGTCCGACAAAGGGGCTGATCCTATCACTATGGTCACCCACTCAGATGAATTCTTGGACTGTCCCAACATACCCAGTGTAGTATCATAATCGAGTCTAGGGGTCAGGTGTAACATTCCAGTTTTGCCCATCTATCTCCAAGGTCCAGGGCAATACTGGATTTCTGGTCCGGTTCAAGGTTTCAAGAAAACCCACATTGCATGTACCTCAGGTCTCACCCTGGCAGCTGAGACAAGCCACCCCAACCAATTTGGTGGCACATCAATGTCAGCCTTGGCAGGATAAATCTTCCCAGATCTATCCAACGGCTGTGAAAATTCTAAATTAACACGAGTCTCATAAGTGTCCAGTTTAAGGGTATTACACAGAAACACACCATAATAACATGAATCAAATATGTACTTTATTCATTTACATTAAATGTCACAATGTATATCATTCTGATTGGAGCTAAGGGCATACGTTGTCTAACAGGGCTCTCCAAGGCTTTTCTTATTTTTTTTTCTCCTTTTCTTGCTTGGGCCGAACCTAGACTCGTAGTCTAGGTTCAGGCTCTCTCTTTCTCTCTTCCTTGAATGCCTAGACAAGGCTCCTTAAATCACTCTCCTTTGTTTCCCCCCCATTTAATGTCAAGAAAGAAGGAAATTTAAATTTTAATTTTAAAATTTGAATTTGAGAGATCCAGGGTAGGGAGATCTAAGGGTGGAGAGAGAGAGTATGGGTTTAGATTTAGGGCTAAGGTTGCCTCTAGGGTTAACGGGGGCTTTGGGTGATTTCTAGGAATGTGTAGGGACCTAAATGGAAATGTACATGGTGGTTTTTGCAATGAAAGGGCAAGTCTAAGGGGTGTGATGTATAAGATTCAATGGCTGGGATTAAACCTTAAGATGTTAGGGTTTATCTCAACCAACGAGATCGCATGAATTAGAATCTTCATAGATGGAGGGGTAAAATGGGGAATTTTGTAACAAAAGTTTCCATGGGGGTTCCAAGGTGTCTGAAAAGGGTAGTGTTGGGGTTTGATAGCCTCGGGGAGTGTGTCTGAGTGCGAAATCATGATTTAGAGCATATTAATCAACGATGACTGTTAGATCAAGATCTTTCTTGATAGAGGGTTAAAAGGGTCACTTTGGGTCCAAAAAAGGAGGATAGTCGACCAAAATGTCTAGGAAGGTGACAACATGGTCTAGGCATATCGGTGGGAATATTGCGATGCAGATCTTAAATTTGGATAATTACGGCCAATAAGAGCTATAGATTTGGAATCTTTTGGAATAAGGGGTAAAATGGTTATTTTTGTGTCTAAAATTTATTGGGTTGTCGATCGAAAGGTTTTAATGGGGTTTGGATATGTCGAGTGATGCATGATGACGGATATCTTAAATTTTGAGAGTATTGAACGACGAAGATGGTCTATTTGGAATATTTTCATGAGAAGGGTAAAATGGTAATTTTAAGGTTTAAAATTTGATCGATTGTTGATTGGGAAGCTTTGATGAGGTTTGGAGGTGTTGGATGATGCATAACGACGGATATCTTAAATTTAGAGAATATTGGGTAATAAAGATGGTTTATTTAGAATCTTTTTATACAAAAAGTAAAATGGTCATTTTAGGGTTTAAAATTGGATGGATTGTTGATTGGGAGGTTCTGATAAGGTTTGGGTTTCATGAAAGGTGTGCCGCAATGAAGATCTTGAAATAGGAGAGTAATGGCCAATAAGGATGGTTAATATGTAATGTTTTTAGATGAGGGGCAAAATGGGTATTTTGATGTCTAAAATTGGGTGGATGGTCGATTAGGAGGTTGATGGAGGTTTTAGTGAGATTTGGAGGTCTCCAATAGTATGGCATCATGGAGATTTTGAAATCGGATAATGATGGTTGGTTTGAAATCTTTTTGGATGATGGGCAAAATGGGTATTTTAAGGTCTAAAATTGGGTGGATGGTTGATCTTGTAGGATTTGATGTATTAGGAGAGGTATCGAGATAAAGATCTAAGGTTTTAAGTGTAGCGAGCAATGAGAGTGGTCGATTTGGAATCTTTGTGTACAATGGGTAAAACGGACGTTTTAAGATCTGAAATTTATTAGGTGATTAATTAGGTAGTTGATGAAAGTTTTGACGAGGTTTTGGTGTCTTGGGGGAGGTGTTGAGATGGGGATCTATGATTTTGAGAGTAATAAACGACGAGAAAGGTTGATTTGGAATCTTTGTCTATGAGGATAAAATGGACATTTTTAGGTTTGTTATCTTCTAGTGGAAAATCAGGTGGTTGATGAAAGTCTTGGTGAGGTTTGGGTGTCTTAGGAATGGTGTTGTGATCGAGATCTAAGATTTTGAGAGTAGCAGGTGACGGGAGTGATTGATTTGGAATCTTTGCGTATAAGGGGTAAAACAGACATTTTTAGGTTTAAAATTTGTTGGATGGTCAATCAGGTGTCTGGTGAAAGTTTTGGTGAACTTTAGGTGTATTGGGAGTGGTGTCATGATTGAGATCTAAGATTTTGAGAGTAGCGTGTGACAGAAGTAGTTGATTTGGAATCTTTCTCGATGAGGGGCAAAAAGGGTATTTTTGGGTTTGAAAGTTTTTGGATGGGTATCTTAGGATCCTTGGAGTATAATGGGAGTGTACGATGGCTTTATAGGTGTGGGAATCGTGACAATCTAGGTTGTGGGTATTTCGGTCAATGAGAAGGCTCAGAATGACATCTTGGTTTGATGGATGGGTAAATGAGGAAATTTTAGGCTGGACTTTGGTAGAATGGCATGGATTTGAATTATAAGGCTGTTGGTAGGGTTTGGTCATGTCAAGGATGTGTTGATTGCTAGTTTTTGGCTCAGGAAGTGTCGTGGGGTCAAATGCGTTGAAATAGAATGTTTGATGGATGAATGGAAAAATCAAGGAATTTAGGGATGAAATTTGGTGAAATTGGATGTTCAAAGGTTTTGCTACATGTGATGGAGTCTGATCGGTAGACAAGCATGGTGACGTGATGCAATCATTACCATTGGAAAGATTGGTGAGGTCTAATCGGGCATCAGGAGTGTGAGAAGTATGTCAGAGAGAGGACCGAACAAAAATTGGGTACTGACAGTGGGGTTTTGTATAGGAGGCATATTTACCTAAAGAATCAGAAGTTAATAACTAAATCAAAACTTTCTAATGGACTAGGATTTAAGAATTTCAGTTGTTTAAATGTTGCATTGGTGGCAAAATTGTGTTGGAGATTCCTTACCAGAGACATCAATTGTGGATGCAAGTGTTCATTGCTAAATATCTGTCTCATTCTAAAAATTTTTGGACAGTTTCCTTTAAGGCAAGGTGTACTGTTCATTGGTCGAGTATGTTAAACTGCCAACCTGCTCTTCGTAGGGGTTGTCGAATATTGGTAGGTCATGATGGCCTATTCAGGCCTTTCCTGACCCTTGGGTACTAGTAGAGGTTGCATAATTGTACAGCACACATTGAAGTATCTCACTCTATAGACCCCTCTAATTGTTGCTGGGGATCCCATCCCGTCTTAATCAATTCTTTGATGATTCAGTTAATACAGTTATCTCCTCAACACAACTTCCTTAGGATTGTTTAGAGATAGAGGACGTGCTTATTTGGACTCCAAATCCCCATAGAAAACTCAGCACTGCATCTATGTATAAGTTATCGTTGAATGATGTGGCTGATCAATCTTCAAGGTAGTGGTCTGGCTTTTGGCATCATCAGTTAGGAAGAAATTTTGGCAAATCAAAATCATCCATCCTCAGGTTGGTATGTTAATTTGGAGATGCTTAACAGGAGTATTGCCTCTTAACAGGTTGGTATTTCAATCTATTGTCTGTTAGTGCTGAAATTGGTGAATCGGTAAGACATGTAAATGCACAGGTCATACAATCCTATTCTACTGCTCCTGTTCCTCATCGCTGGTTAAAGCCTGAAACAGATGTGCTAAAAGTCAACTTTGGTGGTGCTATATCTTCTTTAAAGTGGGTGTAGGAATTACTATTAGAGATCATATGGGTGATTTCTGTTTTGGTCGAGCATATGTGGGTCTCCAATTAATTTTAGAAGTTGAAGCTTCTTCCATTACTTTAGAGGGTGATTGTGCAATTGTTTCATGTCTGTTGGAGGGAACTTCACAGCCTCCTTGAAGTATTAGATCTGTAATCATAAATGTGGTAGCAAATCAGATGTTATTTATCAAAATTCATGGGTGGGTTTTGATTGGTCAAAACTCTTTCCATATCATATCTTTCCCATATCATAGATTTTCGTATTAGATCTACAATTGCCAATTGCATATGTTTGATTTCACAACTCCCTCACTACCCAGTTAGTTGGGTGAGAGTGGGCAATGTTGAACACAGGAAAGCCTATTGGGCTTGAAGCATGGGCAGCAAAGACCCACCCGTACTTTGTGCTGAAACTTAATTAATTATAATGGGGTGATGAAAATTGAACACTAGACCACTTGGTCAAACTAGCACTAATATTATCTCAGAAAACCAGTGAACCTAAAAGCTTAAGCTGTTAAGTGAGGTCTTAAATATGTTTTATTCTCTAACATCCTTTATTATCTGTTAATTAAAACTTAATAGATTTTACAAAATTGTCATGCTCAATTTTCCGTTACCAAATATAACCTAAGTGACCCTTTGAAGATTCTCAATGAAATCGGTAACAATTTCCAAAGTCAGACACACATACACACAATCTGTTTCATTCTCACATGCACTGAGCACATGCAAGATGATGGATTCAACTCTTTTACTCATATAAAATACGAAAACAAGAAATTCTACATTTTATTAATATCACACATTATAATGGAGGCCCCAATTTTTCAAGTTCTCTTGACAAGGGTTTCCTTTGGATGTCTCTTCCATGCTTTCTTTCTGGATAGAATTACAAGCTAGTGATAATTCTAAGCTACAATTAGAGCAATCAGTTACGCCCCTCCTTTTCCCCTCCTTGAATTTGACTTCGCCGGAAGTATTCGAATTCTCTTAGCCACACGAACAAAATCCCTACAAATAATTTATATTCAAGTAATAACAATAATAATAAATCTAAACCCGAATTTTCATGGTATCCACAACTCACAACCAATTGAGCAGAAAAGATATTAAGTAAAACTATTACAGTTACCGATGAAAGAAATGGAACTTACTTCCAATTAAGATCTCCGGCGAGGAGGAGGTCATCTTCCATGTCTTCATAGGCAATAAGGTGACCGGGAATGGCGTTTGAGAGGTCGAGGTCGTTCTCCAACTGAACTTCTCCAACTTCTCCGGCATCCACAAACATGTGGTGCAGTGCCTTAGCTAGGCTCTTGTAGCTTGTGTGCTTATGGAGGCTGATCCGCTGGCATATGGACCGGCCTTCGAGGACAACAGTCACCGGTGGGATCACAGACGACACTAGATCATCTTCGATCCCCGGGAAACCAGAGATGTTAGAGCTACCCATGAAGGAAGAACTATTATATGTTGCACCGGCGAGTCTTGTGTAAAATCCGGTCGAATTGGGACGGTGGTCGTCGACTGCCGCGAATCTCTTTTCTTGCCATCTCCTCTTCAAGGAGACATGTTGAGCATCCAAACCACTCATGGTTTCTCACTATATGTTTCTTGTGTTTTAGTCAAAACGATCTCATGGGTTACTCTGAGAAGGAAAGAGAAGTTGCAGCCAAGAAACTGAGAAGGATTTGCTGGGTTTATATTGAGAGAGGAAAAGAGAGGCTTCTGTTGGGTGTTTGTTCTGTTCTGGCGAGTATAAATGAGAGAGCACAAATGTCGGGAGAGGTCAGATTATTGTCTGCAACCTCGTGCTTTCCTTTTCCTCTTTGAAAGCCATTAATAGGTCTGACCACACCATCTTCAAGAGGGTAACTATCCTCTCTCTCTCTCTCTCCCAATCCTTGGCTATGACAGCCAAAGGAAAGAAACTGCGAAATGAGAGGAAAAACGTAAAACAGAGAAATTGTGTATTCAACAATTACCAACACAACCGAGTATTTCTTGTACGAGTATGTTTGCTTGCAAGTGCAAAAGTGGTGTTTCTATTACTCTTGGAATTCAATTTTGCTTGGTTTCGAAATTGTAATCTCATTTATTAATATAATCTTGGGATGGATGTGAAAGGCGTGAAGAAAAAGTAAGCTTCTGTGTCTACTGATTTGAAGAGAGCGTAACCAAAAATCTTGTCATAATGCGTAGCGGAACAGACTAGAAGCTGTGGACTTCCATGCAATTAGGGTCACAGTGAGACATTTTGTCATAGGGATTTGCCAGATTCGTCAGAATAAAACCAAAGATTCCGATCCAATGTTGGTGTGCTATGTGCCTATTTGGTCCACTGTGAAGCCAAGTTGTACTGTTTCAGGACCCAGCCTTGTAACTTGCGATTCGTAGGCCGTGGAGACGACCGCGCTGCTGTCGGCGAACGGCTCGCGACTTTGACTCTCAGGTGGTCGGGAGCCTCCGTCACTACTTAAATAATTTTCTTCCTGTGAGATACTCTAAGATGTGGAGTTGTCTATGTTAGATAAAAGTAAGTCAAATCCGACTGTTCATCATATGGCCCTGATCGGGGAGCTGTACAGAACGTGCATCATATAGAGTTACTGAGTTAGTATGGGGATGATGAACCTCGGCTCAAAGGTTAGGAATTATCGTAGATTGGATTAGAGAATTAGTAATTTAGGCTGTATTTGGTTGAAGTGCAATTTTATTTGTACTAGTACAAATGTATGGAAATATAAATTAAAAAAACGCAAATTCTCATTTAATTTTGTTTTGGGTTTTATTTTATTCTGCTTTATATTTTAATTTAGTTCATTTGTACTTCAATCAAATAAAATAAGTTAAAATTTGAAACAAAAATATATCAGAATTTATTTTTGAATCATTTGTACTGCCATAATTTTGTATTAGTGCAAATTTATTTGCATTGCAACCAAACGCAGCCTTAGTGAGAATGTTGGTGCAAGGTTATAAATACGTACCATGCTATAGTCAGCTGGCTGTCTCTTTCCACACTAGCTATTTCACACCATTAGCGTTGCTCATTGTATTATGAACAATAAACCATCTCGTGGCCCAAATTGTAATTGCTATTGAAGTTTGCATTTGACATTGGATTGGATGGTTAATAGAGCTAATGACAGTAACCCCAATCATGGAGTGTAGTGTAGATGAGAAATTGGATGGTGCATGAATGTGGTGTGGGTGAAAATAAATCACATCTCAACAAGGTAGTGTAGATGTGTGGATTGAAATACATCAAACGCATCTGGGAAAGCATGTCACTCACGGTAAGAAATACCACAATAGCATGGATTGATTTATGATAGAAAACCCGTGAGCACTAAATTTGTCCTAACAAATCGTGGAGCATTTCGAGACGGAATATATCATGGTCAGACAACAATACCAAACATCCCTAAGTTTTCATATTCTGGTTAAATTACAATTTTTATGGTTTGAATGGGCTGTCCTAATCTAAAAAAAAAACAATGATTTGGTGAATATTCCAAGTTCAGATCTCTTACCCACAAAGATCCTATTTGCACCTATTTACAAGACACTACAACTGTACATTGTATATTAGAAACATCTTTCGTATTTATATGTTATCATTCATGAAGAGATATTCTCAATATACAACTGTAATGTCTTATGGGTAGAATTCTCATGGATAAGAGATCCAGATTGGAATCTTCGAGTATTAAAACACATTGGTTTTGGCCGTCCAAATATTCCCAACTTGACCGACTTAACTTCTTCTACCAAACGTGCTGGCATTATGGACTGAAAGGAGATTTCTTGAAAGCAAAAGTCTTACAAATACACAGAGAGCAGTGCATCCATTCAAACATCAGAAACATCTCCTATGAAGTTAACATACATATATAAGTACATATATAAGAGATAGATATTGAGATTTTTCAGGAGGGATCAAGTTAAAATGTAGATCTTGTAAGGTTGTCCAAACGACCTGACTGGTCGATAGGACTAATTTCCAATATTTTATGTTTTAATAAAGGGTTTTTAAAAGTTCAAAACTAATGCGAATGAAACCAAGTAAACAAGTTGCTGCATCATAATCGATGGTTGTATTTGCTGGTCAATTGATGAACAACTCTCCACCTATTGGGCAGTGCTGATGGATACATGGAGGCTTTTGGATTTGGAGTAAATATGCACGAATGGAAGCATGACAGATGGTTAATTTGATATAAAAGGACAGTAAAACTATATGGAACATGACCCCAGTGATTTTACATTGGTGATATAAATAAAGCTGGTTAGATTAATGCTTGTGTATGGAGGACTGAATTATATTTAACAGCCTAGGGATCTATAAGGTAGGTCCTATTGGAAGATGAGTTGGTTCCAGATCCCCAGTTATGATGTCACGTGTCTTCGTGTCATAGTCGTAGACAATTGGCATCAGATCTAATTTGCCAGTATTTTAGTAGTCATGGTACCAGCCATTCAGACTGGATCACCTGTTGTGGGCACTCAAACCGAGAGAGAGAGAGCACACAGCCATTGAATAGCTATTTTTTTTTATTGCAAAGTTAAGTCAAATACAAGAATGACAGGCACCCCTCCCATTAAACAAGGAAATAGAAGATAATCTACGGTCAACAACAGAATTATTCGAGGCTGAAGTAGTAGTATCCGTGGCAAAATTTGCATCTCTTAACACGTTGACAAGGAAGATTTAAAAGAATTGCGCCGTTTAGCCTTTCTTTCCCGTGGGTTGTTGATTGATTAGAAGCTTGGCAGCCTATATTTTGATTTTTTTTGTTCGGTTGAGAAAAAATCTATCAGTCAAAAGATGATTCCCAAAAAAAGATGTATAAAGTCCGTTTTGGGTTATTTTCAGGAGGTTTCAAATGGAATTTTTTGATTATTTGCATTGAGTTTTCGTACGACAAGATGTATGAAAAGATGCGACTTAACTAAACAATCTTTAGGCTGTTAAGATCTTAATGCAAAATCTTACATCATTTTTTTGGTCATCAGATCTATCAGAAGATCTTTCAAAACAGACTTGCCAAACGGTACCAATAAGATTCTGGGTGTCACAGAATATCACTTCTCCCTCTTTAAACATTAGCGAGAGATGGTTAGAGAGGTTTTAACATGGAGATCTTGAGATTGATCAATGAGACCCAATCATTTAATTTCTGATTCAACAGTAGAGATTGATACTTCAGCTTCGTTATAAAAACACTATTGCAGTGTTATGCTCCCCCCATCCTCCTGCCACCCACTCCCATCTTAATCCCTATCAATTCACCAGGCCACCCAAAGACAACACATCTCTTCATTTTTTTTCTGGGAAAAATGGAGGCTGCAGCAACATCCTCTTATTCCAGCAAGCTATCCCAAAAGATCATGGCGATAGCTGTTGGAAAAACTCATACTCTCTTACCCCATGTTTTGAATTTGTTTAATAACAATATGGTTGTGTATATTAATGGGGAAGAGAAACTTTTAGCTCAAGACTGAGGAAACAGACAAGCTATTCCCAATTTGAGTTAATTTTGGTTTGTGCAATAGAAAGAAAGAAATGTTTTTTCACTTTTCGGTGGCAAACATAGGGTAACGAGCATATGAACTAAAAATAAGGGAAAATAGGATTTTAAAATTTTTAAATGAATTCACAGAGGGTACATTTAAGTCAATTAATGAAAACTTAGGATATGTTTAATTAGGGTAACAGACTTAAACCTCTCCTGAGGTTCGTAATAAATACTTATACCTCCTCTCTAGTAATTTATATGACCTAAACCTCCCTTGTTAGAAGAATATGCATAGAATCCATTAAAAGACATTTTTACCTTCTATCACTCTTTAAATTGTCAAACAAAACCATATAAACTGCAAAATCAGGAAAAAAAATAGGACAGGATGCCTTGTGAAATTCTCCCTTGCAAGCTATCTACCATTCTCTACAAATCCTGCTTAATTTCCAAAAGACACATTTCGAAGGCACCTCTCCCGAAAAGAAACAAATTTGTAAGTTTTAGTTAATTACAAACAATAAAAGAGTAGTCTTGTGGATGCTTTATTCTGTTTTGTAGATGCATCGTAACCAATCTTTCTTCCAAAACCATATTTATAGAATCTCCTGTAGTTGAAGCTAGTATAAATGTTTTTTCCTACATATCTTGACTCATGAGGAAAAGAAAGATTATCACTAATAAACTAATTTAAAACAAAACACAACAGAAATACTGAATAAGGAGTAATGGAAAGGGATTTTTTTCTGGTCATAAGAGACAACCAAATTACATTAGGGTTTCAGTTTTGGATAAGGGCAAATTTGGATTTTTATGAAATTTTACTTGTGCATGATATCACATGCAAGTGGATCATAACAGATTTGTTAGAGGAGGGGAGGTTTTTGTCCAATGATCTCACCCAATACGGGAGGTCTTAGTCCAATTTCAAAACAGAGGGAGGTTTCAATATTTATGAGAAATGTGAAGGAAGGTTTAAGTCTTTATCCCTTTTAATTATCATTGAAACGTTAAATAACATGATTTTTTTACTAACGGATTTCATTTATTTCAATGTGATCACAAGAACGATTTGAATTTGCATTGAAAACCAATTGTATGATATTTTGACTAATATATATTATTTTCTTGTAGTATATCACAAGAAAATGTTATATGATAAATAAATAATTAAAAATAAATAAAACATTTATTTATTTTAATATATATTTTTATATATGATGTATTTTGTATATGCTACAAGTGGGGACCAATGTGATGCATGGAATTTGTTAAGCAAAATCTAAACAATAGAAACTATAAGGCAGGGTTTGGTTAAAAGGAAAAAGTAGGGTAAGGAAAGGAAAGGTAGTGAAACCCATTGCTCACAAGGAGGTTAAATTGTGTATGCCCTTATCTCCAATTATATCGATGTACATATGCATTTATGGTAAAT